CTCTCTCTCTCTCTCTCTCTCTCTCTCTCTCTCTCTCTCTCTCTTTTCTTAAGCTTTTCTCTCTCGTCACTCCCTATCGGGCCCGCAATCCCAACTCTCATTCTCTCTCTCTCTCTCTCCATATTTGATCTTTCTTATACTCTTATTTCTCTTTCCTCATCTTTTAACCTTCTCTCTATTTATTTTCTTGTTATTTCTTCCTTTACTTGTTTCATCACCCATTACTCTTCTTTCTTTAGGAAACTTAATTCTTCTTCATTTATTTTAAAAATAGTTCCTTATCATAAAAGTTTACATTTTTCTCATGTTCTGCTTAGAATACTTGCATTATTCTTTTATTGCATGATTGCACTCATTTTACTTTGATTTCTAGCATCTTTAATGAACATACTTATCTTCAAAGCATGCACATTACTCATCACTATCTTTGTATATACACCTTCTTAGATTTCGCAATTCATTATTGTTATCATGCATATCACATAAGGGGACCCTTCAGAAACGATTCGCAATGGGTTTAACCTACAGACTCTGTTCTCCTGAATCCTCCGGAGTACTTCGATCACAAGTCGAGTACTTTTCTTTGTTCACCGACAAATGTCTCTTAGGAGAGGTGAAACCGGAAGGCTGCCCGTTATCCGTCAGCCTTATCTTTTGTGCATTTCATAATTCATTATCATTGTTATGCATTTCATATAATGGGGCTCTTCAGAAACGATTCGCGATGGGTTTAACTCACAGATTTTGTTCTCCTGAATCTTCGGAGGAACTTCGATCATAAGTTGAGTACCTCTCTTTGTTAACCGGTAATGTCTCTTAGGAGAGGTGATGCTGGAAGGCTGTCCATTTTCTGTCAGCCTTATCTTTTGCATTTCTAAGACTAATTTATTCCATTTTTGCATGTTCCTTAATTTATTTTCTTTAAATTTATTTTATCCTATCGAGCCTAATTAAGAAGACAATTTAAAGCTAACCATACATGAATATAAAGCAAGCAGAGTATGGAAAAGGAAAGGGAGTTGAACTCAGAGTGTGTACCCATCGATTAGATGTTCTCTATCGCATGGTTCTCTCTCTATGTACCCATGGAGTATTATTAATAGAAATCGTGTTTAAAAAACTCGTGGAAAAGGAAAGGGAGTTTGAAAAATATGCAGTTTAAAACGCTTTTTAAAACACTCCAATTTATTCAAGAAATCGTGTTTAAAACGCCGATTTGCTAACTATGACTCAGATCAAGCTGCAGAAGCTTGGGAGGCTTTCTCTAAAGATCTAAGAGGGTAACTTTTATCCAGACGTGTCCCGCAAATCCAAACGGTAAGATAAACATCTTACACTTCACTTATCGCGTTAAAATTCCCTCATCATTGGTACCTATCTGCACACTTCGTGTGGTTGTTTTGAGTGAGGGTCTTTCTTACCGAAGCTGGGTCACCGATTCAAGACTCATTCGGACCCGCAGAAAACCAAAGTCCACCAGCAGCTTGAAGCTTAGAACGCAGAGTGTCTAGATCGAGTTCTACCAGAGGCTCTAAATAGAACTTCTCATATACTCCTCATCAAGACATATCTTCTGTCAAGTGCAATTATTGTAAGGAACTTAGGCCAATGAAGTTCATATGGTCAAATAAGAACAAGAAACCTAATATCTATGATGCTACTGAGTCAAGCCGAGTTTTAGAAGGACACATTCCTAGTGCACCCATCGTGTCTACAAAAGTCGATATGTTGGTAGTGCTTCCTTATCAATCACTCTTACAATTGAGCATTTACAGTCTACGTTCTCGCAATTCTAATTACCTGGTGACTCTGTTCCCTCTATTTTAGATATTAATATTTTCCACTTCTTGGTTGATATACTCTGATGCCTCTTGGCATATGGCATCTAATGAGTCCACTCTAGTTGATCACAAATATTTTTCGAACACTATTTGTACTATTAATGAGGCCATTATGAAGGTCTCAAAGGTTGGCTTTATTTCCACTACTTCTGATCCTTCTGGTCATTCCAATTGTAATGTTGTTTTTTCTTCCTTTGTTTGTTATGTGCAAGACAAGTAGTCAAGGAAATTGATTGGGACTATGTAAAGTTGGTGATCTATACTTCTTAAACCATCTTGATCTTGCTACACCCACCTCTATCTGTCAATGTCTGCTCTTGATGCCAAAGCTCTATGACATCAATATCTTGGCCATGTCTTCACTTCTATATTGCAATATATGTTGTCTTGTGTTCTTGGTTGTGTCACTAATAAAACATCCATTTTATGTCAAACATTGTGAAATATTGTAAATTTGCAAAGTTCTATGCTTTGCGTATTTCATTTCCTCTTTTACTCTTGATCTTGTTCATACTGATGTATGGGGCCTACTCCTATTGCATCAAAAGGGAGCTCCCAATACTTATATTACTTTCATTGATGAATGTTCTAAGAATACATAATAGTTGCATTAAACTTCGTGAAATTTTCACTCCATTCTATTCTTATTTTGAGATTCGGATTTCCATCAAACTTAAATCATTACGCTCAGATTCTAGTAGGGAATGCATTAGTGGGATGCTTTAAAACTTTCCTTTTGGAAAATGTTCAACGTCAAAAGTCTCGTCCTTATATCCCTAAGCAAAATAGTGCTGCTAAATGCAAAAATTATAGCATTTTACAAACTATAAGAGCTCTTCTTTTGTCTACTTTTGTTCCAAAGGCTTTTTGGGCATAAGCAATAGGTATTGCAATCTACCTCATCAATATTATACCTTCTTCCATCTTATCTAGGTGTTCACCTTTTAAGCGACTATTTTCTAAGCCACATAATTACTTCATTCTTTGTGCCTTTGGGTGTGCATGTGTTGTTATGTTGCCTAAATTTGAGCGAGACTGTCGGTCAAGATTGTCAAATGTTATTTTCTAGGCTATTCTGATCATAAAAAAGGGTATAGGCATTATGATTCAATAACTAAGAGATTTCTAGTATTTAGAATGTTATTCTCTAAGCATGCTCCTCTCCACTCTGCATCTCATACTACCAAATCATCTTTAATTTCTATTTTCTGATCCCTTTTCTTATGATGTTCCATCCCGTTCTATATATTCATCGTTAGATTTCACCTTTGAACCTGATGGCTAGACAAAAGATCATCCAACTACTACTGCTGATCCCATTCAAATATTGGCGCCTTCTGATCTTGTATAGACACATGGATTACATTGTAGCAATTATATTCCCTTCATGATTTGTGGATCATGAGACCTTTTTGCCTTATGATCGAGCCTTTTTTGCTTGAGTTCATTCTTATTCTAGGCGACAGACTTATAAAGAAGCTGAATATCAACCTGAGTGGCAATATGCCATGGCAGAAAAATTTAATGCCCATGACAAGACATATGCTTAGGACCTTGTTCTTTCTTTGAAGGAAAGGGCATCATTTGTTGTCAATGGGCATATAAAGTTAAAATTAAAGCTGATGGCAGCATTAAAAGCTAAAAAGCCCATCTTGTGGCTAAGGGTTTATTGAAAAAGTAAGAGAGATCAAAGATACACAAAGACCATGGCACAATATGTATGTGGTTCAGTATGTGCCTACATCCACGAAGGGTGAAACCTCTTATTTTCTTATTATTTGATTACACAGGTAATACCCATATATAATAGAAAGGATACAACTGATTTTAGTAAAAAAACAAGATGTAATCCCATAAAATCTGGCACATAGATGTAATTTCACACAAAATAGAAAACTTCCTCCCAAATAATAGCAAGAAAATGTCACCTTTCTAACACTCCCCCTCAAATTGGAGCAAAAATATCTACTAAGCCCAACTTGCATAGAATCTGATGAAATTGATTCTTTGCCAGAGCTTTGGTAAAAATGTCTGCAGGTTGATTCTAACTTCTGACGAATGGAGTGCTAATGATGTTTGCTTGAACCTTTTCCCTGACAAAGTGACAATCAACCTCAATATGTTTCATTTGCTCATGAAAAACTGGATTTGATGTAATGTGAACAACGACTTGATTATCACAATACATTTCCATTGGAAGCCGAGTTTCAAGTCCCATATCTTGTAGAAGGTATTTGAGCCAAATCAACTCACTTGTTGTTGATGTCATTGCCCTATATTCTGCTTCGGCATTTGATTGGGCAACAACACTTTGTTTTTTGCTTTCCATGTGACAAGATTACCACCAACACTAGTACAATATCCCGTAGTGGACCGCCTATCAGAAAGACTTCCAGCCCAATCAGCATCTGAATATCCCTCGATATCAACATGCCCATTTGATTTCATCCATATTCCTCTACCTGGTGCAGACTTAAGATACCTTATAATCCTCTCAACTGCTTCCATGTGACATATTCGCGGGTTCTGCATATACTGACTAACAAGACTAACTGTAAACATGATATCGAGTCTTGTCATTGTTAGATATATGAGCTTCCCAACAAGTCTCTAGTACTGTCCAATATTTTCCAAAGGCTTTCCATAAAAATGACTTAGTTTCTTACTAGTATCAATTGGAGAGTCAATAGGTTTAACGCCCAAATTTCATGTTTCCTTGAGCATGTCAAGCACATATTTTTTTTGTGAAATAAAAAGTCCCTTATTTGAGTAAGCAACTTCTATCCCGAGGAAATATTTCAAATTACCAAGGTCCTTAATATCAAATTTATTATGAAGATAAACCTTGAGTTTTTTTGTCCCTTGTTAATCATTTCCTGTGATGACTATGTCAACAACATAGATAAGAACAATAATTGTTCCTGTATTTGTTTTTCTCACGAACATAGATAAATCAACATTACTTTTTTTAAAGCCCACATGAACAAGAGCCGGGCTTAATTTCGCATACCAAGCCCGAGGTGATTGTTTCCACCCACACAAAGCGTTTTTTAATTTGCAGGCATTTCCTTTTTCATGTTCCCTTGGGTGACCAGGAGGCAAATTCATGTAGACTTCGTCCTCGAGGTCTCCATGAAGAAATGTGTTCTTAACATCCATTTGGGATTACTGCCGCTCAAGGCTAATGGCCACAGATAATAAGGTATGAACGGTATTCATTTTTTTAACTGGTGCAAATGTCTCTTTGTAGTCTATGCCATAGGTTTGAATAAAACCTTTGGCCACAAGTCTAGCTTTATGTTGTTCAACTGACCCATCACTTTTAAAGTTGGTTTTGAATACCCATTTACAACCAACATGTCATTTTCATGCAAGTAACTTAATAATTTTCCAAGTATAAGTTTTTCAAGAGCTCTAAGATCCTTTTCCATGGCTTTCCTCCACAAAGGTTGGGATTGGGCCTCCGAAAAAGAACTTGGTTCAGGACTTTTAGAAATAGCATTTAGAAATGCAACATAATTTGGTGACACATGGTCATAATTTATTTGTTCTTGAATAGGCTGAGTGGTAGCATGATATGTAAAAAAATCTTTCAACTGGGAAGGAGGGCAAGAAACACGAGTAGATCTACGTGGAGAATGCATTGTGAGCTTAGGTGACTGGACCACGGGGTCTTCATGGTCATGAGAAACAATATAATCTTCATCACGAACTTCTGCTGGATTTTCGTATCATTCCTCACGATTTTCTATTTGAGAAGAGTCTCCAATAATCTTTTGTTTTGGGGTAGAGAAAATAACAAGTAATGTAGAAGTAGTGCACTCCCCTTGAGTCCTATTTTCAGTAGAGTCTTTTCGAAAATAGGACTCGGTTTCAATAAAGGAAACATCCCTTGATACATACAACTTTCTTTTCTTTGGATCATAGCTTTTTTAGCCTTTTTTAGAAGAAGAATATCTAAAGAATACGCATTTAGTAGCACACTTATCAAGTTTTTCTCTGTTTGGTTCATAAACATAACAAACACGACCAAAGACTTTTAGGTGTGAAGTATCAATTGTTCTTCCTTCTAAAATTTCTAATGAAGATTTATTCTTCAGAATCCTACTTGGGGTTCGATTAATCAGATAACAGGCTGTGGGAATAGCATTAGACCAAAATAATTTTGGAATGTTCATCTGAGACATCAGAGATCGAGTCACTTTGAGCAAATGTCTATTTTTCCTTTCAGCAATTCCATTTTATTGGGGGGTTCCAACACATGAAGTTTTATGACTAATGCCTAGAGGGGAAAGAAATCTGAAAAAAAATTATTAACTAATTCGGTCCCATTATCAGTTCGAAAAACTTTAATCTTGGCACTAAATTGATTTGTCACCAGATTGTAAAAATCTTTGAATGCAGAAAACACTTCGCTCTTTGATTTCAACAGATATAACCAAGTAGCCCTAGATTTGTCTTCAGTAAAAGTGACAAAATATTCAAAACCATTATAGGAGGTTACTAGAGCAGGTCCCCAAACATCAGAGTGAACCAAGTGAAATGACTCATCAGATAAACTAGTAAAGTTAAGAAAAGGTAACTTAGCTTGCTTGGAAAATTTGCACACATCACAATTACTTGAATCTAATGAAATTCTTGGGAACAAGATTCGCAAAACATTATTTGATGGATGACCAATCCTTGAGTGCCATAAATTCCCATTATTCAAACTTCCCTTAGACTCCAAGGCTTTATTCTGCTGATTAATCAAGTATAGGGCATGTGAAGCATGACCCTCACCAATCATCTTCCCCGTGGCCCTATCTTGAAACACCACAGAATGAGGAGAAAAAATGACATTACAGTTTAGATCATAAGTGATTTTGCTAACGGAAAGAAAATTTGATGGAAAGGAAGGCAAGTAGCAAACATCAGGATGATACTCATAAAAAATAAGAGATGCTTTCCGAATTCCAGTAACAGGAATCATAACACCATTGGCTATTGACACAGAAAGTCTATCAGTGACTTTCTTGAATCTGGAAAGACAGTCAAAGCTTCCAGTCATGTGGTCACTAGCTCCTGAATCAATGGCCCATGTGGATGATCGAGAGGACAGTAAAGCACATGAGTTTGTGAAGATAGTACTTGCTTCTTGGGAGAGAATATTATCGGTGAAGGATTCCTAGAGAACTTGAGTAAGTTTTTCAAGGCTAATATAAGAATCAATAGATGCAGTTTTAGTTGTAGGATTTTTTTCTCTTGTTGGTATGACCTTGGTTTCCACAATGAGCACATCGTAGAGAGGATCTTCCTCCAATTCCTCATCCTCTGCCTTTTCTATGATAACTAGACCCTCTTCCTGAGGTATTGAAAGGTCATTTAAAAGCATCTGGTTTGATGGTTGTTAGGGCAAATTTTCAGAATTTTCAAGAACACATTTAATTTCAAGAATCATAAATTTTCTTCTTGTTTCCGCTTGACGAATAGTAGCACAAAAATTCATAAAGGATGGGAGATCTTTAGACATCAGAATTTGGCATCTAACATTTTCATATTCAGATTTCAAGCCAGCAAGAAAGATAAAAATTTTATATTGCTCAATTCGTTTTTGAATTTCCTTTGAAGCGGTTGTAGCAAGGGAATATGTTGCAAGTTCATCCCATAATATTTTAAAGGAAGCAAGGTATTCTGTAATGGATCCTTCATCGTGCTTAGTACGGGATATTTCTTGCTTTAATTCAAAAATTCGAGACAAATTATCTTGTTTTCCATATATTTCTTTTATAGATGTCCAGAGATCCTGAGCATTTTCAGCATCAGTGAAAATCTTTGTTATATTAGGCTCTATGGAATTGAGTATCCAAGACATGACTTTCTTATCTTTGAAAATCCAATCCTCATAGTTGGAATCTTCCTTAGATGGAACATGTTTTGTTCCATCTATGTGACCTAACTTGGACCGCCTTTCCAAAGAGATAGATGAAGCATTTGCCCAAGTTAGATAGTTATTTCCATTTAGAAGAGTGCTAGTGAGTTTGTCACTAATATTGTACTCCTTTTCATGAAGGACAGTTTTTGAATTATCCCCCATATTAAAAAAAAAAACAAATAACCCAACAATCCCTAAATCTTGGCAACAAAGAAGAAGGACCAAGAAAAAAAAAAAACCCAGCAGCCACAAGTAAAGGAACACCAAAAAACAGGTAAACAAAACCTGGCAGCACGGATCCGAAGGGAGGCAACAGAGGCACAAATATTCGAAGAGGGTGGCCTCTGGTTTCTGCTGCCTTTGGTGTAGAGATCTAAAAGATTTGATCAAGAGATCTGAAGGCACAATCGTTGTAGAAAAATTTGGGCAATCCACGAACAGAATAAAAAAATCCTTTGTATCTCCACTCTCCCTTCAACCAGTTTATTATGATCGCCTCCACTTTTCACATTTCTCATTATTTAAATATGCCTGGATGAATGACATATAGATGGTTCATATATGGGTGAATGGTGTAAATGGGTGAATAGAGTTGAATAAGACAACAGATAAGGATGATGATAAAAAAGTTTAGGGATAAGAAGCTATGATAAAAGGTGTCAAAGAAAAAGAGGGAAAACGTTAGCAGTAGAGAGAGAAAGGGATGCGAGCCCTGGCAGGGAGGGATAGAGGACCCCTCACAATGACTGCTGGCAACACACAAGAGATTTAAAACATTGCAGGCTTCAAAAGAGGATATTTCTCTCTGATACCATGTTGAAAAAGTAAGAGAGATCAAAGATACACAGAGACCATGGCACAATATATACGTGGTTTGGCATGTGCCTACATCCACGAAGGGTGAAAGCTCTTCTTTTCTTATTATTTGATTATATAGGTACCACCTATATATAACAAAAAGGAATCAGAGATTTTAGTAAAAAGATAAGATGTAATCCCCCACAATCTGGCACATAGGTGTAGTTTCACACAAAATACTTCCTCTAGGAAGAAAATGTCACCCTTCCAACAGGGCTACAACCAACAAAATGGAATCGATTTTACTAAGATCTTTGCTCCTATATACCATATAACTACTGTTCGAGCACTGATTTCTATAGCCTCTACCAGTGGCCTCTTTATTAGCTAGTTATTTATAATCTCATTCTCAATGGGAACCTTAAAGAGGATGTATATATGCAACTACCACATGGGGTTAATGATCCTTAAAAAAATAAAAAAACAAACTCCCCATACCTGGTTTGAAAATTTTCATTCTATAGTTGTCTCAGCATATTACGGTTAGAGACGTGGTAAACCTCAGTTTACCATATTCTTCTCATTTACTCTACGGCTATCTCAGCCCACATTTGAATGAGTCATATCTCATTCAAATTGTTTAAGTCATGGTTCATTGTAACTGTAAAGATATTTTCCCTTTTCCTTTAGCTTGTCTTTTAAAGGTTGTAATATACAGAAAATACCATGAATTCAATACAGCTCAAGCATTCAGTTTTGCATTGTCTTTTCATGGTATCAAAGTCGTAATCGATCCAAAGGGCTTCTCAACTGTTGTTTTCTCTACAACTTTCATTCTCTTTCAATCATGTCCACTGTACCGCATGGATAAGTCACCAATCCATCTTCTCCCTTCTATTTTCGTCACTCCAACAACCCGCACCGAAGAAAATTACGCACTCTGGAAGAGAGCCATGAAATCTGCTCTTGATGCCAAGAACAAACTTGGTTTCATCAACGACACCATTTCTTAGTCGAAGGAAGGTGCATCCAACTACACTGCCTGGAATTGTCGCAATACCATGGTCTTATCCTGGATTTGGAATGTTGTCTATAAGGATCTCACCAACAATGTTATCTACTTTGAAACCGCGCAAGAAGCATGGGAGGAGCTTTTCACAAGGTAATGCTGGTTAGATTTATCACATTACTCGTGACATTTCAAATCACGTTCAGGATCAACTGACTGTCCTGCAATATTTCACCACACTTAAAGGATTTTGGGATGAGATTGATTCTCTAACTCTCACCGCAAAATGCTCTTGTGGTGATGTCAAAGAAATCACCCAATTGAAACAAAATATAAGGGTGTTTCAGTTCTTAATAGGCCTAAATGACTCTTTTTCCACTGTGAAGAGCAATGTCCTCACTATGGATCCATTGCCTTCCATGAACAAAGCAATGCTTTGATTCTTCAAGATGAACGATAACGAGCAGTTCAACTTTGTTCCGCACAGCCCTTGGAAGGAGTTGCTATGGCTGCGGGTAACTTCGGTGGACATGGACGTGGCAAAGCTCGTTCAGACAACAATTACAACAACTAATTCCACAGAAGAGGCAATGAACATGGAGGCCGAGGATGCGACAGACCCCGTTGTGATTACTGCAGATATTTTGAGCATATCCGGGATCAATGTCGTAACTCCTCGTAACAATGCCACTGTTGCAAACTCTAGCAACAAGGACAACAATGGACTGGCCGAAAACTCTATAGTTATTCACCTCTCTCCAGAGCAATATTCCCAACTTATGTCCTTGTTGAATATTGACAATAGCCTATCATCAGCCAACCTGGCAGGCATGACTATGTCTTGTGCTTCTTTACCATCTCTTTCATCATCATGGATCATTGATACATGGGCATCTGATCACATGGCATCCTCATTAAATTTTTTGTCAACCAAAAATACCATGCATCTAAACCAGAATGTCAGACTTCCAAATGGTGATATAGTTTAACTTTTCTCATAAAGGAAATTGCTCCCTTTCACCATCATTACAACTTACTGATGTTTTATAACTACCTTCTTTTGACTTGAACCTGTCATTTGTGAGTAAACTAACCAAATCTCATAATTGTGCTGCTATTTTTTTCAATGATTACTGTGTGTTCCAGGACCTGGCAATGAAGATGGTGATTGGTCTGGGTGAAGAACGTGACATACTTTATTTCTACAAGGACCCAGGAATAAGAAGTTTCTGCAATCAAACCACCTCTTTTCAGCTCTGGCACAACCGCCTTAGTCACCCATGCAACCAGTGCTTGCGGTCGTTATCCAAAGACTTATCTTTTTCTTTTTCAGAAAATAGTTGTTGTCCTTGTGAATTTGCTCTGTAGCCAAGCAAACTAGAAATTCATTTCCTTTGAGTTCCAATAAAAGTTTTGTTCCTTTTGAGGTTATTCATTGTGACATTTGGGGAGCATACTCAACACCAACACACATTGAAGAACGCTATTTTTTAACCATTGTAGATGATTTTAGCCACTGCACATGGACCTTTTTAATGAAATTTTAAAAAGGAGACCTATTGTCATATCAAACATTTTTATGCTATGGTTCAAAACCAATTCAACTCGACCATTAAAACCCTTAGATCCGACAATGGCACTGAATTTCTCGCTCATCAAATGTAAAGTTTTATGAGTGAGAAAGGCATCTTACACCAAAGATCTTGCGTCAACACTCCCCAACAAAATAGAGCTGTTAAACGTAAGAGCCCTTCGCTTCCAAGCTGGCTTACCCATCATTTTTTGGGGAGAATGTGTTTTAACCACCACATACCTAATAAACATATTACCTTCCTCTGTTTACAAGGACGATCACCCCATGAGACCTTATTTAACACTAGACCTTCCTACCAACACCTACGTGTGTTTGGCTACATGTGTTATGCTCACACCAAAGTACATGACTCACACCAAAGTACATGATAAGTTTTCTCCTCATGCACGCATGTGTATCTTTACTGGGTACCCTGATGGTCAGAAATGATACAGGCTATTTGACTTCAATGACCACAAATTCATTGTCACGTTCCACGAGAATATCTTCCTATTTCTTATTGAGAAAAGCAAAACCAATGACCTCTCTCCCTCTTCGCCTATACCCCTCCCACTCATTGAGGACATTTATATTAATCATCTTCCTTCACCTCCTCAATTAACTTCTGTTGAGCCTTCTTCTCCTTGCCCCAACCCTTCCACTCAACCTCCTGAATTTCCACCACCTACTCCAACCAATGAACTGCCTCGCAAATCCTCAAGAGCACATCATCCGCCCAGGTAGCTTGCAGATTATCTATGCTCTGCAGCGCTCTCTTCACCCACAACCAATACCACATCTTCATATGGTCAACACACAGGTATCACCTATCCCCATGCTCATTACATCTCTTATGACAAATTTTCCTTCTTACATCGTGTCTTTCTTGCTTCCATATCATCTAACCATGAGCCCATAAATTTTACCATTGTCATGAAAGATTCCCACTAGAGAGATGCCATGCCCCTCGCAGTTTGAAAGCTGAAACCTGAAGTACAATACTTACCCCGAAAGCTCAAAATGAATTAAAAAAAATCGTTAAGCAATCACTTTCAGTGAGGGTAACTATGGTATCAAATGAAGCAGTATATGAAGCAAGGGGTGATCGCTTTAATTATACGGTAAATATTATCGCACATGAATGTGAATGTCAAGGTTGGCAAATAACAGGTTTGCCTTGTAAGCATGCATGTAAATCTCTTCAAGTAATGAATAGGGATCTTGTTGACTACTGTGAATAATATTTTACAGTTACAAAATTGCGTGAAACATATTCTGTGCATATCATGCCAGTTACTTTGATCGACTTGTCTGGGCGTAGTTTACGTAGACACCTTCCTCCAGAGGAAGTAAGAGTGCTTCTACCTCACTCAAGACACCCCCTGGCCGACCTAAAAAGAAGCGCATCGAGTCACAGGAGATACCAGTACGACTTATTCACTGTAGTCGGTGCAAAGGATTAGGTCAAAACTGGACAACATGTAAAGCACCCACTTGAAGGCATATACATGTAAAGCACATCTACTTATGGGTTACATTTGCTTTTTTGTTAATACATATACTCATGTTATTGCATTTATTATTCTCTTTTTTGTTGTTGTTGTAGCATCCACTTGTCATTATTTATTGCCAACTCATATGTACATATCCTCTTAATTGATGTAGCAATGCAAGACCTAGAACAGTCAAGAGGAACAAGGGACCCATCCACTTCAATCAAAAGGAAAAGGTACAATAGTCTATTTACTCTACTTTGTGATTGATATTATTTTGGTAATTCTT